ATATCTCAACAAATACTGTACTTAAGAGTCTTGAAACTTATTGGAGATACAACACATGGGAATTTGAGTGCATGAGTGGTCTTATCTCGGATTCCATGAAAAGTGGACATACGACACTTGTACTCCGGGCCGACGATAAGTGAGAAGCAGCGTGGTGAAATCAGGCGCTCGTCAAAATAATGAAATAGAAAATATCAGCATTTTTTCCGCCAGTTTGACAATTTCTATCAAATTCTTGTTTTTTGGCTCAACATCTTTTATGTCCATTTGAAAAGACATTTTTGTATAAATTTTCTTGAAACACCTTGATTAAAGGCACACAAAATGTACATTTTCAGTTTCAAAGGTGTCTCAAGCTATGGAAATCACCTAACTTCAGCTGGCATTTTCTTGATTACTTTGTCTCCTCTTTCAATTGCAAATATCTCAACTTCTAATACTTCTATTCAAGAATGATGAGTATTTTTTAAATCAAATGATAGAAAAAATTGACGAGCGTCTGATTCCACCACGTCGTCGTGACACATATGTATTTTTAAGTTTATAAGACCCACGCCTATATGAACAAATTTGACTGCCATGCTGTTCACAAAGGAAGGGAAATAATAATTACTTGATTAGGTAGACAATACTTTCAAATACATATTATGCACCCATCATCTGAAAAAGGAACACATGCAAAAAAGGTAATAGGGTTGGTAAATTTTAAAAAGAAAAAGAGCGCAGCAAATGTAGATGGTTGATTAACGAAAACCCAAAAACAGCTACTGGAGACGGTCTGGCTGGGGGGAAAAAACACAGCTGGTGGAGATGGTTGATTGAAAAAAACAACAACTCCATTGCTAATATAATATGGAAACATTTGGTATTAACAGAAAAAACACACACAAAAAAAACAGCTGGTGAAGATGGTTGGTAAAAAAAAGAAGGAAGGAAATTTTTCCTAAAAAAACAAAAAAATCTAGTGGGGTCCCTGGTAATACTGCACCATTTCTGGCTCGAAGAGTTTACTGAAGGTTCCACTTTTCCTTTATCAGTATTAGGCTAGGGACATGGTGACACGGACAGGGACAGTCAGTTGCTGTCACAGCAACACATCAAAAAGCATGCATGCCAAAACCGCTCATGATTTCTTTTAAAACACACCAACCCGGCTATGTTGAACACGGACAGGCACAGACAGCAACAGCCAGGAAAATTCGAAAAGTGCCTGCACTACTTCTCCCGTCTGTCTGTTTCAAGGGAGTTAAATAAAGATACGATCACAGTGATTGTTCTTGTCAAGATGGAGGATTTTGATGAAGAGAAACTGATCATTGCGGTGCAAGAAAGGCCAGCAATTTATGACAAGAGAGAAAAACATCACGCTAATCGTGATTATATATTGAAGCAAAATGAGAGCCTTAATCGTGTTGCGATTGTCCTAGTATTTAAGTGGCAGGATAGAATTAAAAATTAAGAGCTGTGGGAAATGACAGGACAAAAGAATATAGAAGTAGAAATAGGACTAAAAATTAAAAAGTGGCGATGCGGAAACCTCACAAGACAGTTGCTGCAGTGGAACCCACAGGGAGCACAAGGCAGGCGGTAGGCCACGGGAATCATGGAGGAGATGTGTGGAAAGGGACATAAGAGAGATGAAGCTCACTTGGAATGAGCTAGGAAGGATGGCCAAGGACAGATAAATGGAAGGAGCCTGTAGGTGGCCTTTTCCATGCCAGGGGTGAAAGGCAATGATGATGATGATGTAATCGTGTCGCAAAAAATACAGTTCAGCAGCAAGAAAACAAGTACAGGACCTGATTTTCGTGTAAGAACAGATTTTAAAAACCATAGGCAAATCAAGTTCCAAATTCGCAACTTACAACAGCAGACATTTCTACAAAATAACTTACTGACAGAGGGCCCACTAAAATTACCCTAGAGGCAAATCCAAAAGCAAAAGTACTGTAATAGCGTGTTATAGTTGAACATTTGGTCTAATAATTTACGCACCTAAAATGCACTTTTACCAAAAAACTACTTGTAAAGTCTCTTGCAGCCTGTTTGAATGTGACCACATTTCCCTGTGTCTGTCCGTCCCTGTGCGACAACAAGTAGCTGTCCCTGTCTGTCCGTGTCACCATGTTCGTACCCTTAGTACGAGCAAAAGAGAAAAAAAAAGGAACCCCCAAAAAACCCCCCACCAACAAAAAAATCACACACAAGCAGTAGGCCTATGTAATGGTGCAAAAAACAAAAACACCAAAGATGTAAGAAATTAAAGTGACACTGTCTTTATTGTCAATCCTTGTATAGTATTTATTAAAACCAAAGCTAGTACTTGTAGACTACACTTCATTCTATCACTAAAAATAAAAGCATTATGGTTCAGAAAAAAACTTACAAAATTATAGAGTTCAATGGCAAGTAAAAGAACAAAGGAACATTCAGGGATCTATACAGGGGAAAATATGGACAGCAAATAGATAGAGATGGCATGAGAGGAGAGAGAAAGTATCACAAGAATCTGAGAGAGAAATAAAATCAAAGGGAGAGACGAAAGTGACTAGGGTGTCGTCACCTCCAAGAACAAAGATGTCGACAAACATAATGCAAATTTCAAATGCCCCACAAATGGCCAAGTTCTGATTTATTGTTAGTGTAAGAGATAGCGTAAGACACAGCGCTTTAAGATTAGATCTATACGAATAACGCCAAAGATGCCAAAACTTAAATGAGCACCCGATGATTCAACTCTGTCATTACACATAAGTCTATGATATTGTGTTCTAGGAATTTTCACCCAGCACACAAATTAAAAACAAAAGCGAAGAACAAACAAATTGCACATTGCCTGTTCAAAGTTGGAATGAAAAAAACCCCCAACCCACTACAAGATAGATTGATTAACACGTTCTATCCTGTTTTTTCGAGACAAGTTTTTTTTTTCTCAAATCCAACACTATAAACAGACCTATACACAGGAAACAATTGTAGCATGCAGATCTATTTCTTCAGAATAAATTCACAAACAGCATTAGGTTGGCAAGAGGCCACACTTATACTGTGGGCAAAAACTGATTATAAAATACTGTAGTGCTGCAAGAACAGTAGTAGAAATAGCAATATACATAAGCAGAAAAGAAAAAAACCCCACCAAGACCACAGCAAAACAAAAAATTATCGTCAAATCTTCCCAATTGAAACAGCTCAGAAAGGCAGACAGAGTCAAGCAAGAACCACTTCCCAACAAAAAGGTGAGATAAATAATAACAAAATCTGCAACCAGGGATATCATATTGTTATATATTATTATCACACATTGGCTGGACCAAAGTCCACAAAAGACTGTTGGGAGCATAGTGTTTAATAAATCAAAGAGAGTACACAAGTGAAAAGAAAAACAAATAAGCTTAAACAAAAAGGCATGCATAGAAAATTAACACATTTCAAAATGAGATTCTGGTGTGAAAGAAAGCAGGAACAATAACAAAAGCAGCCATACTTTACATAAATATGAAATCTCTACATTCCTTTCCAACTAATATTAGGAGATCCTCAAATCTACAACATACCAGCGACTACAGCTTGTTAAATTTCGTCTGACAATAATCTAAACAGAACCAACAAGTACATGAGCTATTTTCATGATATAGTATAGAGCAGTTCCATGTTCAGTTTACAATACAACAAATTGTCCTTTCTGAAACTAAAAAAAATTTTTAAAAAATTTTTAAAATTTAAAAAATACAAGTCACATTTGAAATGCTCTAACTAAACAGACCAAAACAAAGATTGCAAAGACCAATTCTCTTTTAGTTTTAGTAGAGGTTTTACAGCGCTCACAACTGCATAAGGTCATATGAGCATGTCCTTACGCAGGGAATCACGCTTACTCTGCTCACCTCTCTAGCTTCAACAGAACAAAGTCTGTTTCGAATATCAAGGCACCCCGGAAAGAGCGGGTCACAAGAGTGTGACAAAAATACAAAAGAAGTAGAGGGAAAAAGACCAGAGTAAGGATTGGGAAAGAAAAAGGAGCAGTTCCCTAGTTATGAGCATGACATTGTTGAATCAGCCCATTTACAATTCTATTGTGCATAAGAACAAGTTTTGGGAATGGCCTAAAGACACTTCAGTCAGTGGCACTGGGGGGGGGGGGGGGGGGGGGGGGGGGGGGGGGTAGACTAATTCAAAGACGGTACAGAACTGATAAAAATTATGACAGTTGAGAATGTCTGAGAACACCGGTTTATGTGGAAGAATCTTGCAGTTTATTTAGGGAATGTCTACAATAAGTTATAATTTACATACCGGGTATCCAAACAAATTTTCTAACTTCAACATTTTCCACGTATTCAACTTATGGCACTTAAAAATATCTCAAACTAAACCCAGAAAAAACAGCAAAACTAGTTTAAAATGTTGCAGACCTTTGTGCCATTTGGAAAACATGAATGAACTATTATGTCTGATTACAGAACCAGTGGAAGCATGATGTTATCTTAGTACACGGCCCAGTGGAAACATGATGTTATCTTAGTACACAACCCAGTGGAAACATGATGTTATCTTAGTACACAACCCAGTGGAAACATGATGTTATCTTAGTACACGACCCAGTGGAAGTATGATGTTATCTTAGTACACGACCCAGTGGAAACATGATGTTATCTTAGTACACGGCCCAGTGGAAACATGATGTTATCTTAGTACACGACCCAGTGGAAGTATGATGTTATCTTAGTACACGACCCAGTGGAAACATGATGTTATCTTAGTACACGACCCAGTGGAAACATGATGTTATCTTAGTACACGACCCAGTGGAAACATGAAGGCATCTTACTAGATGGAATGATGGAAGCTTACTTGTAGATAGCTGACAATACAAGGGAAAAAAGAGAAAGAAACCTCCACCCCTCAGACAGTTTGTCCTTTTAAAAATATTTCTTCAAGGTATAAGCGGACAACAAAACCACACTACGATTCATTTACAGGAGATCAATTAAAAACTATTTTTTTCTCTCTTGAAAACTTTTGCTTTCTGGGCTTAGAACATTTGAAAGGCTAGCCAATGTTATAGTTATACACAGCTTCTGTACAGCATATCATTCCCATCCAATAGGATCATAAAACCAAATGAACTACAGCAAGACTCTCAAACTTGCGACTCGCAGGCGATATTAGCAAATTTATAATATAAAACATTGGATGGTGTGGAGAGACATGCAAAGGAAACCCATAAGGAAATTCCACACAAGGAACTAGATCTACCACTCTCTGTTTGTTCCCTTTCCTAATAGTGATAACTATTCAATTTTATAAATAAGTGTAAAACACAGAGACTCTGTTGTAGAGCCTGGATAGGTGTTAATGCAAATATTATTACTATCTATGCATCTCAAATTATGTCTAGTCAACCTCCATGTGAACAATTATGCAAGAAAATGCAAGATCAAGATGAGGCAAACAAACAAACAAACAAAACGAAACAAAAAAAACTCTGGAAAAGAAAGGAGCAATAACTGATAAATTAATAAAGAGTAATCTATGTAATAGAAATGACCCCATTAATCATTTGTTACAGTGCATGCAAACTTGATCTCCTTCAATAACAGGATTCAGCTATAACGGGGATATCGCGTTGGTTTCAGAAGTCCAGTAATAGTAATAGCTGGGGCCCACTGTGCACAAACAAAGTTGAGATTCATGTAACAAAAACAAAAACTATGACCAGAACCAAGCCCTAAGTTACTGTTGTGCTCATGAGAATTCAGACCGGAGATTCATTTAACCAACGTAGAGCTAGCAAGAGAAAACCTGAAATGTTATTGACAATTCGACAATGTTACAAGTAAGCATATCCAGATTTCAAAATGTCAACTTAGAACTGATTTCAATTTTATAATAAATACTAAAAGAGCTACAGAGTAAGTCTAAAATAGAAAACTGCATCTACCCTCGATGCTCAATGGCAACAGGATGAAAAAGTAAAGGAAAAGTTTGTAAATTCCACAAGTTCTAGAATTTCTAACCTTCTAATATGATGTCTGATAAAAAAAGCCAAAAAAAACCTCGTCTCATCTCTGGCGATAACAATATTTACAAGTCCAGCGGAGTCTGCTTAAACCAAACACAGTTGATCCGAAAACAAGCAGTTAAACGAAGAGAACAGAGAACCTCCATTTTTTCTTCTTCAATACTTGAGCAATCTCTGTAACCCGAAAATGCAGCTAAACTGAAGAAAATCCGGGGGTCCCCCTAGATTTCGGTTTCAGCGGACTCCAGTAAATTTAAAAAACCTTTTAAATAAGTGCATGTTTTTGAAACAATATAAAGGGTATATCATTTGTAAAGTCAAACAATTGAATTTGTGCATATAAGACTTTTCAGTCACCACTTTGAGAATTGTAGCATAGAATTGAGGTACAAATTGTCTCTGCAACATGTTTACACACAATACAATACATTAGAATATAGTATCATAGAATACACATTTGTCTCAAGTCACCCACTATAAAAGTAAGTATTAAAGGATAAAACTGGATACAACTTATATTTTCTCAACTGCAATGAAAGGTATATTTATTGCATGAGCTTTGCATTTCGCATTAAAATCAGTTACCAGCGACCTCAAGATGCAAGACAGGGGATTTCTTCCCTCTCCCAAGATGTTCGTCTCTCACAAACAAGTACTTATGTTTCAGCCCATTCATATCAAATGGTGAAAGACAGGAGTAGAACTTGCGCATGAGCAAAATGAGATTCTTAATACCATTAAAAACATTTCAGGCATCTAGCAAAAATGCCAAGTTCTTTCACTACGCTTCTAAAAATCCATCTAAAGTCAACAAAGTAAAACACAAACATCTGAGATGGAAGCTAGCCATGGTAGGTCAGACACCATGATATGGGACACAACGAGCAAACACACCCAGAAATTCACCACCAGTGACCACCCCATAAAAATGTCACAATCAACTGTTTTTTTCTTTCAGAATTTTTATGGCATCAAGTCTTAACTGGTTCATTACAGTTGCACAGGTATAAAAGTATAGTATAACAGATATGGCTTTCCTTGCGCTACGGCGGTACAGTACCAGAGAGCTGTGATTCTTGGATATATGACACAAAACACAGGTGATGGCTTCATAAAAACATTTCACAGCCTTAGTCAAAGACATCAACATCGAGTCCCACTTGGTGAACAAAATTGAGTCAAAGCAAAACTAAAGTAACAAACCGAGCAACTTGAGTAATGAAGTACACAAGCCTATAAAGTCATATAAACTTTTCTGAGCACTGAGACTATGCACAATTTAAGTAACGTACTGAGCGATTTGGGTACTGTAGTGTAATGAAGTGCAGGAACACATCGTCAGCCAGCTGTTCAGATGTACTAAGCCCAAAAATTTGCTTCTTTTTTTTTTACTGCTATCTTTTAATCAGTGGTATCATTTGCATGAGCTCATGAAACATTTTGTCGAAATTCAAACACTAAATAGTGAAAAAAACAAAACCCATAAAAAATACATTTTGTCGATACAGTCTTACAAGAATAAAACAGACTTTTTATCTCTTCTGAAAAATGTAGCGTCCCGGACTTGGTACATTCAAACAGCTTGCCGACGGGAATAAAATAACAAACAGATCAACTTGAGTAATGAAGTACATGGACAAGTGACACAAATTTTCCCCCACTAGCTGCCCTGATGATACGACAGCGGCTCTACAACATCAAGGCTTCTAGGCAGAAGCTCAAACTAAAGTGACGAGAAGCTTATATAAACCTTCATGTTATAATGTACATGATATGTTGTACACCTCAGGCCTACATTCCCTTCAAAAACCAATCACACCAATATAATGAAAGCTTTGAAGGCCTCTGCCCTGTATGAGAGGGCCCAGAATGTTTCCACGATTGTATTTCAAGTAAACTTCCACGCCTCAGTGCAGGTGTGACATGCCACCTGTGCAGCCCACACAATCCCAGTGTTACAGCTACACAGACCCAACGTAACACCAACAACCTGAACACAGATCCCTGTATCATTTGCCACTCGTCACTTCATTGTAACAACTGCTGTCGACTGTTGAGATTCCTCCAACACAGCGAGACCATCCGCAGAATCCTTCAGGCCCGAACGTTGGTCACTTGTCTCTCCCTCCTCACTGGTCATTTTGCCGCCACAGCCTCTGAAGTTACAGGCTTGTAGAAGATCTGACCGCGGCCGATTCTGCGAAACAGTTCCTGGCGCAGCAGCCGCCTTTCCTTTTTCACCTAAGATATGGAACAAGGTTACATGATGTGACAGATGAATAAAAATTTGGATGATTCATTTACAAAACTACTGCAAGCTGAGAGACAGAACAACATTACATGATTCATTTACAAAACTTCTGTTCCCTGCCACTTAACACCTTGCCTTCACAAGTCTCATATAGTAAAAACCCTTGCCATCAAAGGCAAAGGCATTTCGGGGAAAATCCGAAGAAGCTGGGTGGCAAACATCGCCAATCGGTGAGATGTGACGGCAAAGTGTTAAGTAGACAGTGGGTATATTGTAAGAGAGTAGGTATCCTGTGAATTATGAGAGCAACAGCAAGTGAAGCAAAAACATTAGATGTAAATGACACAGCTGAAAGAGCAGTCCAAATATAATGACAGGTTGAAAGAAATGTTGTTGGGAGAGGCCAATTACACAAAATATTCTATACAATTAACTCATCAAGCTCAACAGGAAAATAAATACACAAGACGATTGCAGAAGAAAATGGTGTTGGATATAAAATGTGTTACAACACGATGGAAATAGGCACTTGTCAATTTTTTGGTATATAGAGTGATATTGGTATCATCTTATATCTTGTTCATTTGTCTTGCTTTCGATGAAAAAAATACTTGTGTATCTTGAATAGAAGTAAAAATATTTGTGATTGAAGGAGGTCAGGGGTTGCCTGGCTTCGCCAAAATTTAGTGACTTTCAAAACTTGAGTCCTTGGAAACTGCAAATTTACATTACTTGTAATCAACGTTTTTTTAGTACAATCCACACAGAAATGTGTTTTTAAATGGACATAAAAGGTGTTGAGCCAAAAACAAAAATCCTATAAAAATTGCCAAACATGAGGAAAAATACTCGCTTTTTTTATTTCATTATTTTGACAAGAGCGGGATTTTACCATGATGTCTCACAAATATGTCTGCCGGACATATTTATGCATCTCATAAAAAGAACGTTTTCTACCGAGGATCACATAATACTGTGATAAAATGGTGAATTGTCAACTTATGGCACAGCACATGATGGCAGTACTGGCGACATCTGATGACAGCAACATTTAACATTAGAACTAGACACCAGTGAAAATGTGAGAAGGGAACAAGCTGAAGCCACTGACCTTGAGCAGCACTCCCCGGTTCTCCATAGCCCGGCGGGACAGGTACGGCAGCACTTCCTCCACTGGGCCGAACGGGACGTATTTGTACACAGAGTAGCCGGCCTGACCTGTACAGACAGTATTGCTTACTGTCATCTTAACTCTTTAACCCTTAAGGAACGACCACCAAGCCACATTAACTCTCTTACCCTAAGGGAGCACATGATTATGTCAACTTTTTAACTCTTAGTGGAATATATGGTCACATTAACTCTTTAACCCTTCGGGAGTACACAGTCACGTTTCACGATATAACTAAATAGCATGCCAAACACTTACACTTTTTTGAGAGTGGTCAAAAAATTACTAAAGTGAAGAAATCAAAGTTTATTTTTGCAAGGTATAAAACATCACTCATCTAGAAGAAATCAGACTTAATTATTTTGTGGACATAAAACATCCTTCACCTAGAAGAAATCAAACTTTACTTGTGTAAGAATAAGGACTGTCCTGGAAGAAATCAAACTCTATTTTTATGAAAATAAACCAGGCCTGATCTAGAAGAAATCAAACTATTTTTATAGAAACAAACCAGGACTGACCTAGAGGGAAGCTGATCTGGTCACACATTCCAAACAGCTGACCGAAGCAAATCAGACGGTCATTTGGTCCGATGCCATACTCCTTCATTCTAGAAGAAAAATAAGAAAACTCTGAGGTATTTATCTTTCTAGGCAGGTCACATCAGGTCACAGGACAATGCAAGTAATCAGCAACAGGAAACATTTTTAATAATTTTTGTTTTGTTTTCTAACCCTTTGAATCCCGAGTTCCCAAGATAGATGGTCATTTTATTCACCCAAAGCAAGACACATGAACAAGCTTTAAGATGATATGAATAATGCTATATGCCCAAAAATTGACGAGTGCCTGATTCCATCCTGTTGTGTATTTTTATGTCTCTTACAGTCAGTTGCATATGACCCAATGAAAATAGAACTTGCAAACAAACAAAAATCATTTGAAAGAAAATAATTTTAATTAAAAATTTTTTAAATCAGGGTTCTTCGCCATGTGAAAAAAAAAATTAGAGAGCTCCGATTTTCATACAGTATAGCAAGTCTTCAGGACACAGATGTTACCAACTTCTGTATGGTTCAGTCATGTCACAGACAGGTACATGACACAGAGATGGTACTGACTTCTGTATAGTGTAGCGGACGGTGTCTTCATTATGGCTGGCTATCATGACAGCCATTCGTCCCACAGGCCTCATGTGGATCTGCCGCATCACTTCCTCCACCACGCGGTGCATCATTTCTGTAGTGGCCTCATAGCTTGGGTTGATCGGGTCCTCATAGCCCAAACTGGCAGCACGCTCACGTTCCTAAGTGTGGGAAGGGGTGAGGTGGGGGAGAGATTTGGGATATTTACATGATGCATGGGTGACACTGTTTTAGCTTAGGTAAGAGTTTAACAGCACTTGCAACACAAATAAGTTATATAAGAGCCAAAGATTAGATTTGTTACTATAGAGTAACAAAGAAAGGGCAGAGGAGAGATGAGGATGGTGGATCTTTTATAGGAAAGAAGGAGCAAACCACACCGGAGCACCTGCCAACCACCCAAGGCGACTAATAAAATGTTTCAAAATACTGTTGAACCTGCTCCAACGGCTACCTGCACAAGACAACCACCTGTTCAAATAACACCCGCCCCCCAATGTACTTTCTACATATAATAAAGACGCTGTCCAAGATGTTCATCTGTCTAAGATAATCACTTTTCTCCATAAAAGATGGGGCTCCTCTTGGACAGAATCAACTGTACTTAGTCAATATTATGATCAAAGCAAAATAGCATTAAAAAATACATTAGATTTATCATGGGATGTTACACATAGAGGAGACATTAGACGTGCACTTACTGCCTTTCAAAGTACCCTAGAGACATTTCCAGTCTGTCAGCCATAGACAGAGATTCTTACATTAAGCCAGAGGAAACACATTGCTGAAATTTTAATGAGCCTCAACCCATACATATGATTCTATCCACCTTGAATCAAGAAAAACATTACCAGCTGTACCACAACACAGCCCTACAAAACAGCTGCAGCTATACCAGCCCACCTAAAGTCACACATTTCAATAGATTAATCTAGGAGTTACAAAATATTTAAAAATTTATCTAGGCGTTCCTACACTCCCATCGACACAATTTAGATAATTTAAGAGGTGTACTTTGACCCTGCTTATCTGGGCCAACCAGGGCTGAGACAGATACACTATCCCAGCAAAAGACTAATCCATAAAAACTTTCTCTACACGAGAATCAAACTTAAGAGTCTCCAGAGTGCTACATCAAAGCACCTACCCACAACACCAGATACCGGTACAGCCATAAGTGTGGCCACACTTGCCCTACAAAAACTTGTAACAATAAAAATTCACAGCCACATCGGGTGAAACCACATACCTGTTCCATGTATGCACCACGCACAAGTTTCGCTCCAAAGTAAAAGTCTTCTCTCCTCGCTAGGTCCATGTCCACCAGGATGTCATTGTAAGCTTCCTGCAGACCGTAACAACCAACAATAAAATAATGGAATAATAATATTAAACAAAATTTGTACAGTGCATATCCCTGCTCTTCAACAAGCTATGTGTGCTTCACACTTTAAAAACCTGGCAAGATCTTTCACTGTCTATATGCGGGCACCCAATTACCACCACGGTGAAGTGAGGTAAGTTCATGTAAAGTGCCTGTCCCAAGGACAAAACGTCGAGCCGCTCGCAGGGTTCTTTTTTTTTTTTTATAGTAGAGGGTTTTACGGCGCTTGCAACTACATAAGGTCATATGAGCGCCAAGGGGTGGGTGTCAACAGAGAAGTCTTTACAGGGAATCAGACTGCTCACCTCTCTAGCTTCAACAGCACAAGGTCTGCTTCAACTATCAAAGCACCCCGGAAATAGCAGGTCACAAGAGAGTGACATACAAAAGAAGTAGAGGAAAATGACAATAGTAAGGATCAGGAAAGAAAAAGCAGCAGTTCCCTGTAGTAGATCAGGCACAGTTATGAGCGTGACATGAGTCAGCCCATTTACAATTCTACTATGCTTGAACGAGAAATGTCCCCCCTTTGGGAATGGCCTAAAGACACTACAGTCAGTGGCACTGCCCCGGGGGGTGACTCGCGGGATTCGAATCCAGAACCTTTTGGTTGCAAGCCCAACACCCATTAGACCACCAATGCCACACATACAAATACACTTAAAAAACAGGGTGACTGCCAACCCGGCTTCTCAATTTTCCAGGGGCATGTTACATAATAATGACAGCACATGCTCCATTTATACATACATACATACACACACACAAGCATGTTGGTACATGATATCCAGTTAACAACATGTCAGTGTGGCACTGGGATACTGTGTGACTTATGTATTTCAGTCTGTTCTTACTTATTTATATTTTCCCTTCATCATATTCGCCAATATAAACTTTTTTAAAATGAATCTTGTGATAATAAACAAACAAGGGTCTAGATCTAGATCAATTTTGTTTCCCCCAAAAAAGATCTCTTCTATTTCCGGCTTCCGGTGAGAGGGAGATCACTGTAACGTCGTCAGCTCGCTTCAGCTTAATTTTTTTCCCCCACAATTCTACGCCTGAAAGTTTAATAATGCCGCAAAATTTTTCGATCCATTTTTCAACTGCGAAGCACCCGCGGAAAACTACGATGTCAGGATTATATAGATGCTTCGCCACTGAGAGAGAAAGAGAGGGGTACACATATCAGGTGAATTCAGAGTGGAACCACAAGGTCAAAGTATGCACCACACCATATGTGACCTTCCCAAAGGTAAAACAGCCAAAGACAAAGACACAAGATAAAGAGAATACTCAATGGCTAGGTCAGAAAACAGATCACAAAAATAGTGTACAAATCATACCTTCAACGTTAAAACACACTGAGAAAAATTAATATTTAAAAGCTCTAAAATCTCAAAGAAAAGTAACTGATCATCAATGTGCAGGAAATTGGCAGAAACCTTGGTGTAACACTGGTAGGTGTTGAAGATGACACTTCTTTCTTTGTTGAACTTTCTCATCATCTCCATGGTCAGACGGCGGATGGCAGGCTGGAAGTAACTCTGCTCTGCGTCAATCATCACGCGGACCTCCTTCTCTTGGGCATACTGCAATGGTGCAGGAACATAAAATGTGGACTGTGAGAACATTTTCTCTATGGAGAAATATCTGATCACAAATCCGTACCCGCCCTCCCCCCCAAAAAAAACAACCCTACACCATTAGATCTAGATATGATAACTTATAATAATGTTAATGATAATGACAACAAAAAATTTATTATAATAATATAATGATACATTCTGCACCCATCCAGAAATATAACAGTTGAAAGCATAGTCTTGTGCAAAATAGAGAAAAAAGACCACTGACTTACCAAAGAAAGAAGGAGGACAAGGAGGAGAAGGAGGATGAGGACAGGGAAGAGAAGAAGGAGGAAGGGGAAAGTGAGGAGAAGGAGAAGAAGAAGAAGAAGAAGAAGAAGAAGAAGAAGAAGAAGAAGAAGAAGAAGAAAAAAAGAAGAAGGAGAAGAAGAAGGAGAAGAAGGAGAAGAAGGAGAAGATAAAAAGGAAGAACAAATAGAGGAAAAAAAACAAGAGAAGAAAGCGTGCAGGTGTGACCTTAGCGAGCTTGTTGACTCTCCTCAGCATGTTCTTCATCTGGTCCTCCTCCTCCTCTGTCATTGCCTCTACGAGGGGTTGAAGTTTGCCCGTCTGGAACAACAAAACATTTCTATAAATTAGAATGACTGTTAATGTTGGTACAGTCAAGCTAGCGCTAGCAGCCACCTGTCCAAGGCAACCACCTGCACAAACAACTATTTCCCACCCTGCGTTTTTTTCTATATCATAATGACACTGCCCATGAAGTCCACCTATCTAAGAGAAATACTTTTCTCCTCGACAACGGGTGACCGTCTTGAACAATTTCAACAATAATGTATATCTCATTTCATTAGCCGCTCAGTCAAGACTGTTGTGGCACCAACAGTTAAAAAAGGGAGAAAAAACCCCACTCACTTCATATTTTCTTTTGAAGTTGAAAAAAATAAGTACGAGTTTTACGGCACTTGTAACACAAATAGGTCATAAATATAAGTGCTTTAGATTAGGGGTGTTACAAGAGAGTAACATACAAAAATGAAAAGGAGAAGAAATAACGACAGTAAGTCTTTGATAGGAAAGATGGAGCAAACCACACCATAGGACCTGCCAACCACCCACCAAACTGACAACAAGGTGAGAATGCTTATTCATTAAAGCTTGACATACAGAGAAAAACTCTGGGAGAAGTAGTGTCCTTCAAATACCCACATGTGACTTTGGCAGATTTTTACCTTGAAGTTGACTGGCACCTGTGGTGCCGCGGTTAAGAATTTCACCACCAAATGCAAAAGACCAGAGTTTGATTCTCAAGTGGGAGGAATGTTTATCGAACATCTCTGCCATTCTGCTGAATTGTGTCCCTTTTGGCTCCTGTTGACCCTGACAGGCAGGGTCAGAAGCCTGCCACTGAAAGGGGAGTAAAAATTCCCTACATAGCATTTTTACAAATTACCTTGAAGTTTGGCACGACAAGGAGCTTGGAGAGAGATCGGTTGATTTCCAGAAGGTTGCTCCAGTCCAGCAGGTCCACCTCACACCTGGCAGTCACATGACAGAAACAACATCACACTTGTCAGTATTTGTGTCACGACGCTGAGGAATCGGGCTCGTCAATTTTTTGGCATGTGGAGTTATTGGTATGATCTCAAAGCTGATTTATTAGCCTTGCTTCAAATAAAATAAACCTCAATTTATCTTGAAGATAACTCAAGATATTTACGATTGAAGGAGGTGAGGTTGCCATTTTTCAGTGTTGAAATTAGCGAGAAAATGACTGCCAAAATTTGGAATCTCCAATAGCTAAAGATTCTTTGAAAACTGAAAAATGACTCATTTTGAGACTTTAGTCATTATTTTTCTGCGAAATTCACTAGAACTGTGTTGTTATATGGACATACAAGAGGTTAAGCCAAAAAATAGAAATTTGATGAAAATTTCCAAACCAGCGGAAATATACCTTTTTCTCTGATTTCGTTATTTTGACGTTGCTGCCTCACATTTGTTCTCGATGACATATAGCCATACAAGCAGACTTAGAAAAGAATAACTAATTTAGAGAAAACAAAATTTCTTTTTTAAAATGTATGTTTATATACACTCTCAATAACACAATTTAGATCATTTAGGAGACGGGCTTTGAATCAGCCTGGCAGGGCCAACCTGGGCTGCGAAGAATACAACATCCCAGGAGAGAGGCTGATATACTCCCGTCCTACTAAACAAATCCCAGACTCACCCGTCGGCGGAGATGTCCTTCACTGACACCCATGTCCTCTTCTTCCCCTCCTGGAGCTGTACGCCGATCTCCCTGAGGCGAGAGTCGAAGTCCTCAAGGCCAAACCGAAGCTCACCGGTGTCGATCTCTCCCTGAGTCTTGTGAAGCATAGCAAAGAAATTCTTGGCTGTCATCAGTACCTCCGACATCTGGAGCTGTGGAAGAGGGTAAGATGAAGGGGGAGGAAATAAGAGGTATTAGAGTACCGTGTGCTACAGTATCAGACGGAATCCAGAGATATGGTGACATGTGGTATGGGCGTGGTACTTTACAGTATGGGTTCCTTAACACCATATTCTGTAGAGTACGATTACAAAGCAGAACAGGACAATCCAATTAAATCCTGTAAAACTTATAGAATCCTGAGAAAAGATGTGTAAAGAGACAGGATAGTCAAGTAACTTAGAAAAGACAGATCGTGTCAACAAATGAAGACTGAGGCAGAACTACTCAGTGCTCAATATATTATAAGAGATCTACGGACTGGTTAACTGGTTCAAATGGCCATAAAATGCTAATTACACATCTAGTGAACACAAGAATTATTCGTGACATGAAAGGAAACACACAAATCCTTACCATTGTCAAGAAAATACAGAACAAGCCACAGTATTTCTTGATGACAAACTTTAAAATCTCAGAAAAAAATGTGGCAAAAGATCAGTCTAACAGCCACATTTTTTCTTCTTCATTAACAAAGCTATCACAAATTACCAAACTTCACAACTCCAAAAAAGCTGTCACAAATGACCAAAATCCACAATCCTACCAATCCTATCGCAAATGACCAAAAGTAACAACTCTTACAACCCTGTTACATTTACCAGTCACAACTCTACAGACACTAAACATTACCAAAAGTCACAACTCTACCGACACTAAACATTACCAAAAGTCACACCTCTACACACACAAAGAATTACCAAAAGTCACAACTCTACAGACATGAAAAATTACCAAAAGTCACAACTCTGACAATGCTATAAATTAACAAAAGTCAAAACTCTACCGACGCTATAAATTACCAAAAGTCACAATTCTACCAACGCTGCCATAAATTACCAAGGGTCACAACTCTCTAACAATGCTAAAAATTACCAAAAGTTGCGGCTTGCCCAAAGCTGTCAGCTTGATGGCTGCAAACCCTGACTTCTCAGTGGCGTCTGTGGAAGTCAAAGACAGCGTAGACATTTCATCAGGTGAAAATAAGAAATCAAAATGTTCGCACTTTCTCTCAACGGGGTCGAAAATTTCCTGACCTTGACACACAATCAAAGGTCATAAGAGACAAGCCAGATTTCTTCAGCTACTGACAGCTCGTGAACCTTGACCTCAACATTGCCTTGTTCCTGAGGTAAGGCAAAGAAAAATATGAGATAAAATAACAATTTATTAACCTCCACAAAGAGAAACTTGCTGTGGCATGGTAAATATATATGCAAGTATTTGTCAACACACTCTTACACATACATACACACACACAAATAGTCACAGGAACAAGATAGGAGAAACATCTATGCAAGACAGAACCCCAGCAAAGGACAGCAAAGTGCCTAACTACTACATCAGACACCAGCTGCATTGGATTTGGACATGAAGCATTCACAATGCAATCAAACTAATCAACACCACCAAAACATTTAGGCGGCTCAGGCTAGGAACTATTTTGCTGAAAGAAAACGTACGTGAGACAGCATCTATACAGTTGAGGAAGATCTGCATGTTCTTGTCACACTGAGCCTCGCTCTCGTAGAAGTAGGTTCTTGCACTGGTCACCTTCTCGCGCCGGTCACCAAACTCCTCATGGGCTCGATACTGGGAGGCCGCCGCCGCATCTGTGGAGTGGGAAGGTGAATGTCGAAACCATCAAAGTAGGCCACAACACCAGTCTCAGAGAGAAAAACGTCAAAACCATGAAAAGAGGCCATGCAGTCAGTCTCAGAGAGAAGGAAAAATTCTCTACCAAATTTTTGAATAAATTTAATCAAACAGAGATGAAAAAATTAAGCAAAAATTCTAGGAAAAGGAGATTAAAAATAAACATGATAAATATGTGTCAATAAGAATAATGATGATTAAATTAATATTAAAAATTATAAGAACAATAATGACAATAATAATAAAAATAAATAATTCTAATAAAAAATATCATTTGTTAAGCGTATATACCCACTTAATAGCAAGTTGTACGCACTGTACAATTAAAAACATATTTTACGACAAACATTTTCTGATGAAATAAGAATATATCAGTTGAAAAAAGGGTGCAATTATGGTTTCTGTCTCAACACTTTAACCTTATCTTTGCTGGATGCAGGTCAGTATTTTTTTTTCTTTTAGTAAGAGCTTTACAACACTAGCAACACAAATAGGTCATATAAGTGCCTAAGATTAGACCTGTTACAAGGGAGTATCATACAAGGAAAAGAAGGAGAGACAAGGAAGACAGATGTTTGATAGGACAAAAGGGGAAAACCGCACCAGAGCACCCGCCAAACACCCAATAAAAATTTCTAAACTACTTCCCTCTTTCAAGTGCAGAAAGCATGCTCAAAATACAGTTCAACTAACGGGACTAAACTCTAAGCTCAATAGATATGATGTATGAAATATATTCATCCCCTTGCAACTCTTAATCATTCCTGAAAAAAATCTCGGTCCAAAAATAATTCTTTAAAGATGAACAGAGATGGCATTCAGCAACAATCTCAAAAGACATCTCCCCTCACCTCACCAACACACACACACACGCACACTTTTCCCATAATCAACAGTCTCTTGTCCAAATACTTATGTTTTATTGTTTTAGTAAAAATTTTATGGCATTTGAAACACAATAAGGTCATAATATAACTGTCGAAAATTAGAGGTGTTACAACAGAGTAACAAACAAAAAAAGGTGGAGGAGAGATCAGGAAGATAGATGAATGACAGGAAAGAAGGAGTAAACCACACCAGAACACCTGTCAACCGACCGCAATCATGAGTTTAGTCACAGCAATGGTTATCATGCACATAAAAAGATTAAATACACTGTACGCACACACCAGGACGCTGCGCAAATTTTTCAAACCTCTGTTAGTAAAATTTAAAGTTCTGATACACCACTACTATACCATTAGTTAAACAGCAAAAAAAATTCTTTATTATTTGTAAGCTGCATCTGCTAAACAACTAAAAAATTATGTGTTTCCATATGTATATATTCATCTTTTAAGCAACTAATAGAATCAATTTTTTGCTAAATGTATAAATATCTGTTACACAACTAAACAGGAACTAGAATTCTGTTCTATGTAAGGAACACATTCTGTCTTTGTTTTAGTAAGAGTTTTACGGCACTTGCAACACAAGAAGGTCATATAACAGCATAGGTCACATTGTATAAAAGTTTCACCTCCAGTGACAAAGATCTCATAAGGCCACAGAAAGTCAATTTTACATAAACATGGACAATAAGGAGAAAGTCAAGAAACAGACCCTTGCCCAACCAATGAGATCCTCCATCAATTACTCTCGCATTACGATAGCTTCCATCGCTTGTAAATAAATAGATCTCTCGGAGGAGCGAAAAATATTTCAAAATATTTGCTGAGTAAAACACCTCAAAACTGCCAGCCGAGAGAAAAAAAGGCTTCTTACAGAGGCAAAGCGTCTATATAATCAAATAATCACTGCTTCCCTTCCTAATTTTGAAACATTGTCGCAGTCAAATTCACCTATAGACGTAAACCTCATAAATTAAATGTAAAAAGACGTTCATAATCACCAATGAACAATAGACTATGCCTAACCTTCAAAACCGTTTCATTGCCACAGAAATAGCCTGTTCGCCCCTATCAGGCCACTCCATAAGCAATCACAAGCTTTGATTAAGTAAGCTTAAAATGAGGCTGGAAGAATCTGCCAATAGAGTTGAAGGGAACATGTGCATAGCAGTCAAAACTGTTTCATTGTCGCATATACCCTGTTCACCCCTTTCGAGCCACAGTTATAAGCATCTATATGCGCTGATTATGTAAGCTAACTATTACACTGCTTGAGTCTACCTCACAGATGTGAGGGGAACTAACTCCTAATAATATCTTGACTGCTGCGAGTGCTTGTTTTTTTTCCTCGACTTTTTAACGTCCTATAATCAGATCGTGACCTTGATTATGACACCGGCTCCTGGCCGTGAAAAGCTAGACAAAACAGCCAAATGTGAAATTAAAAATTAATAATTGGCATGCTCTACCACAGTGTTTCGGCTGTCTGGTATAAAATGCCATTGCAGTACTGACATCTCTGCTTCTTTCCTTGGTGTTCGTGTGTTCAAATCTAAAGTTAAATTTAAGGTTAATTAGAATAAATATTTAATTAAATACTTTCCCGATTATTTTAGCGGTTGAATATGCATACAACATGAATTCAGGATTTGTTTTCATTCACAACTCAGAGTTGCAGCCTCCAGTGCCAGTAAGATTCTTGTGACTTGTGTGAGTGTGATATCTCCAGGCCTTGTCTGGTCCCATCTCACTTTGATTACCCTGTCAAACAGGTCAGCCTTTGCCCCTGGCTTCCTATGAACCCACTGGATACTAGTAAATACTACAAATGCATGACCATCTACATCTCGTTATCTTCTGTGCTCCATCAGATAAGAGAAAAATAACACGAGGAGCAATTCTGATCCTGCTGCTTTTTTCATTACTTATCCCTCAGTCATTTTTCTATAGCAAGCAGTCACCTGTCCTAACAGCCACTGTTCCGTGATACCCCTGCATCTTTCCTACATTTTTAACCGGTCCAATGCAGCCAAGACCAGTCATTTCCGTGACAAGCTGGCCTCAAAACCTGCTCATAGCAGTCACTGTTACAAAAGTTTTCCACCAACCTGAACTCAGGCTGAGTGTGTATGTTCATTCAAGGCAATGAGTATGAAGCTCTTATGATGGAGAACAATTTTGATGGACATGAAATGAAAATATAAAATTAAGATTTTAGATTTTAAACCATCAATTGACTTTATCAAGTCCAGTAAATGACCATAATTCAGACGCTATCCATAGCAGCCATCTGTCTTTAACAGTCACTTTTCTCTGGGATCTTGCGTGATTGTGACGGAAAGGTTCAACTATAATAGACATGTTTGTTTCATTCCATCAGCTCAGTATACGACATAGGAATGTAAATTCAATTTATTCAGTATATCTCCCTCTGATGCACTCAAATATATTATCATGCCGACATAATCAATGCGTGTTGGCAAGGTCTATTGCATTTCAAATAGCTCCACACCCACATGTGGTATCACAAAGAGCCCCATCCCCATGAACACCATTCCTGCATTGTGTTTTACCCAGTCCTCACATCGTGTTTTACTGCTCAGCCACCAATAAGCTAAATGCATCTCGTTGAATTTAATTACAATACACAGCATACAGAGAAAAGAGCAGGCTGTCATATTCATAGTGGCAACATTTTGCAAATACAACAATTGAATTTTTGGAATAGCCAGACGACCTTAAACTAACCTTTCCATTGATAATCAGAATAGATATAATGCCTAAAAAATACATGCAGCAACAGCAATAAAATGTTGACTTATTCTCAAAACTTACGTGTACACTATGAAAAGTAGGAGCTTTAGCTTTTAGTTTCAATTACAGTTTTACTGCACTTGCAACACAATTTGATCATATAAGAACTACTTACATAGTCTAAACCAGTTGGACATGGACCACATAGAACGATATATGAACACACTAGAGGCAAGTGTCATTACAGGAGAGCTGTCAACCTATAAGTACACTCAGTCAAACTCCTAAACCTATAGCCTGCAGGGATTTGGAGCTGTCCTCACAGATTGGGAGTCCCCATACAGTAGAACTTAATTCATTAGACGCATCCAATTTCCTGTCATAAGAAGTTTCAACATGTATTTTGCTTACATCCCATTCACTGACACTCATCTACTTTTTTAGTTTAAGCAAGAGTTTTGTAGCACTTACAACTCAATAAGCTCATGTTAAGAGCCGAAGATTAGAGGAATTACAATAGAGTAACAAACACAAAAAAGGAGGAGAGATCAGGACGACAGATGTTGATAGGAAAAAAGAACCAAACCACACCAGAGCACTCGACAACCACCTGCGTATCATCTACCCCCAAGGAGACAACAACTATTTTTAGTTTTGGAGAGTTTTTGTTTTAGTTTTAGTAAGGTTTTACGTCACTCACTATATAGGGTCATATGAGCGCCAATGGATGGATGTTAACAGAGAAGTCCAAATGTGGAATCAGGTATACTTTGGAGAGATTTTTACAGTACTTGCCACACAAATAGATCACATAAGTGTTGATGATTAGAGGTGTTACAGTCAGACAGAAACATACAAAGAAAAGAAGGAGGAGACATAGTGACAATATATATTTGATAGGAAAAAAGAGGAAAATCACACCAGAGCACCCACCAACCACCCATGACAATAACTGGGCCATCCATGCCAATAAAACATAACAAAAGCCAGACAGATTAGAACAACATACTGCATGCAGTACGTGGCAGCTTGATTCCTTATTCCATTATATCAGCCCAAAAATGCACACTAAATAATTATGTTTAGCACATAATGAGAATACACTGAGAATAGGTGCAGTGAAAAATCAACAACACAAATACACACATTCTTAAGTACATACAGAGAGTAATATAAATACACAAGAGGTGAAAGAGTAGGCTACAACATGAAATATTGAGGACACAAAGTTAAAAAGTACTACTCTACAAAAACATTTTCAGCCAAATTAAGAAAACTGAAATCAAATTACTTTTATAGGGGTACAATAAATGTGAAAAATAATTATGTTATGACTAATTGTAGTGTTGTGAGCATTATTAAAACCGTTACTGTGATTAGTGAAACTGAAAATACACAAAAAGTAATCCGCTCGTTAGGACACAGCAATTCTTCCGTTTACCTTCCTGGCCCTCAATTGTTTTATTGCTTTCAGCAAAGGTTGCCACTGGAATGTTGCCATGGACAAAGAACAACTTCATTACAAAAGAAAAGAAAAACAGTGAGCAGAGCAACACACCCCTCAAAGGACATTTCCTGTAGGAGTGTCCTCGACAGCACACACAGCGGGCATTAAACAAACAGACCTACAACACCCAATAAAACACACACAGACCGAGCTGCCACACACAACACACCCCGACAATTGACCTACTACATATAGCACAACAAAACCCAGACACTGGCCTACTAAACACAGTACAGCATATCCAGACACTGACTTACTTCACATACAAACGCAAAACATCGGGTTTTTTTAAGAAAGAGTTTTACAGCACTTGCAAAATAATAAGGTCATATAAGTGCCAAAGATCAGAGGTGTTTTAAGAGAGTAACAAACACAAAAAAGAAGGAGGAGAGATCAGGACAACAGATGTTTGATAGGAAAGAAGGAGCAAGCCATACCAGAGCATCCGCCAATCACCCACGCAAAACACCCAGACTTACAACACAGCACACCCAGACTGACCCACTACACAGACAGCACAGCACACCCAGACTGACCCACTATACACACAGCATAGCACACCCAGACTGACCCACTACACACACAGCACAGCACACCCAGACTGACCCACTGCACACACAGCACAGCACAACCAGACTGACCTACTACACACACAGAACACCACACCCAGACTGACCCACTACACACACAGCACAGCACATCCAGACTGCCCCACTATACACACAGCACAACACATCCAGACTGACCCACAACACAAATAGCACAACACATCCAGACTGACCCACAACACACATAGCACAACACATCCACACTGATCTACTATACACAAGCACAGACCCAGACTGTCCTACTACATATAAACACAACACACCCACAAGCTTGACTACACCAGAACACACATGCAGATGTACTTTGAATAGTTTTGCAACAAAACGTGACATATCCATTTTTCCAGTTTTGAGAGAAATTAAAATTTCTGTTCTTTCCCCATTTATTGATATAATCTTGAGCAACTTTGTCTGAGAGTACCCATAAAGAAAAGCTTAGTTGATATTTGTTGTATGATGAAATTTATGGTAGAACGAAATTTATGTTAGATTCTTATCCTTTGAATTGAGGAGACCTCCACATATTTTGACAAAGCATGGCATATCCACATTACGAAAATGAGGAAGAGAAAGAAGTGTCAACAATCTTTAATCGACCAAGAAGGAGGTCATGAGACTTGGAAAAGACATGAATGGCGCATGGAGGATGGGTTGCTGTTTGTCAAAAGAAGTCTACCTCTTTTGTCGCATTTTGTAAAAAAAAATTTTTAAATGTCACTTTCTGCAGAAGAAAAATCGCTTTTTCGTGGAAAAAGAAGACAACCTTGGACTGTACTTCATCTTTCTTGATCAATAATATGATGGTGCTAGTTTTGGCCAAACTTCGAATATGGCAACTGTCATATTTTTGTCGTCAAACTGTTCATATATAGTACACAGACGGGGCATTATGAGAACTATATAACTATATGTATATATATATATATATATATATATATATATATATATATATATATATATATATATATATACATAAACAGGCAATACCAAAGCACAACACGTGTACTCGACCAAAAAAATGTTACTTTCTTTTCAAGCCTGCGCCTTGTCCTGAGTTGAGAGCAGCAAAATTAAAACATTAAAAAGTTATTTATTTGGGCATAAAAATTCTCTTGACTGTCAAAACACAGTCTTGTCTACAATAATTTAGCAAAATGAAACTTACAGCGTCAAATTCAAAGCAAGACAAAAGATGATACATAGCTATGTAAATGGGTTACCACACAAGCTGTTGCACTTAAAATTGTTAATAAAATGACCATGAATACAACTTTTACGAGGTCATAAAGAGATGGCAAATTCATACTTTCATCTCAGTAGAATGTGACATTCAATATATGCCACACAAGCCGCCCTGTACAAGCTTGACAATCCACAGAAAGGTCACAGTAGGATCTGGAAAGAGGCGCTAAAGCTTCACTGGGAATTTCCCGACGAGAGAGCGAACCCATCTGCAACCGTTAATTAAACAGTCGAACTTGCTGTAACGGCCATCCAGTCCAAGACAATCACCTGCATAAACTGCCACTTCCCACCTGGTGTTCTTTCTCTACATCATAATAACACTGTCCACTAAGTCGATCTATCTAAGATGAAAACTTCTCTTGGACAGTGGGTGGTTGTCTTGGACAGGTTCAACAGTAGAGTTACCAGATCCTCTGTAGCATATTTTTCTCCTAAAAGTTTCCACCTTTTTACATCTCTCTACAGAACAAATGCGTTTAGCGGAAGAAAAGAAGTCTTTCTCTTACCATCTTTCTCTCTCGTGAGAAAAACCTAACAATGAAAATCCAATTAGAAATAAACGTGACTGCAGGCTGTACAGTCAACCAAACAATCTACCTAACACACAAAATTTTTTTTTTTTTAATTTAGAACAAATTTTATACACAAAAAACTTGCATAACAGGAAGAGGAGGGGAGGATAAAGCAACAAAAAAAAAATTGTTTCTATCAACTGGCTGTGACCCATGACTGATGAGTCGAGAACATTCACAAGTCTGTCTGGAGTAAATTACTACATAATAAACCTCTTCACTGCTTCAGTACTGATTGGCAGTCTAATCTATGATGCTCTGCCTTGATAAAAAATTAACACAAAGCCCTTACATTAACACAGAAGCAGTAATAAGGCTCTAACTTGGAAGCCTCAGAAAGCAGTTTCCCATGGAAATCATTCAACACTACAAAGTATCGTCGCTATCAACATTTATTGAAAATTACATTGTGTAAAAGATGACATAAAGTGAAAGCAACTTCATATTAACAAATTTCTTTTTTAAAACCACTAGCAGACTTCCATTATTCTAATGTACTATTCTCCCCCCCTCCCCCCCAAATAAAAATTTTAAAACTTAATAGCAGACTGTATGGTATTGTCTTGGTCTTAAAAAGCCGAAGTGCATTAATTATATCTGAGAGTAAAAGTCTAATATCATACCCCAAGTGTAGCTCAAAAGGTTGACTACTTTCAAAAAGTGTCTTGAACGTTAACCCAAGGCTCACACTTAGATAAGAATTGAGCGCTTTGATGACAAACACCAAGACTGGAAGTAAAGCAGTCCATCGACTGTGATCAAATCCCCAGCAACAAGCTTCACAGACTGCAGTAACAATATTTTCCTGAACAACAAAAACACTGACCTGGATTCTCCAGCTCATTTTGCTGCGGTACACAACCTCTGAGGAAACAGACAAACCAAAGACACAGTAAGCCCGACTGTTGGCAACAAAAATAAAACAAACCTACCCATTCAAAAAAAAGACAAATAACAATTTTTTAAATATCTTACCCACTGGAAAAAAAACAAAAAACAACAATACTTGCTTATTCATCACCTCCAAAAAAAACCCCCAAAAGAAAGAAAAGCATATCTTTTACCAAAACACATCTCAATAATAGAATAAAATCATCATACCAGAGTAACAAATAATTTTAAAAAACCCAATAAAAATAAAACAACTTGAGGGCAGGCACACAGACAGAGGCAATGAAAGAAAGAATAAAAGTAAGAACTACCACCGACGCCCACCAACCACCTGCTCTCCCACAAATTAGTTTAACAGATGAATGAACAGATACAGCGACATTATCACACGAACCAACGCAGCATATTATCACAAATTTACATACACTACACAAACAACAGATACAGTAACAGTAGTAATACTGTGCAGATACAATAAATGCAAACGAGCAGAAACAGCTCATTCATTCATGCACTACTCACTCCATCTCAGCCTCAACAGCTGCCTCGCTACTGATGTCTTCCTCAGCACTGTAGTCCAGAATTGACTTGACCCCAAACTGTTTGATCCTGGAGGCTACAGGCTTGATCTCCTCCTGGTCGGCCCCAGCCACAAAATGACCGTAGAATGTCTGCCTCATCATGGCAGAAAACAGACGAGGACCCATGAGTTTGCGAGACATCTGCAGCAACTGAAATGAAGAAAACATCTTTGCTTTTCTTTCAAGAAGTATAACACCGTACTGAATAAAAACAACCAGCCCAGCCAGCAATATTGAAAAGTAGATTTCAATATCTAATTCTATTTTATAAAGTCGAAATGGTCTAAGACAGCAACAAATTGTTGATGAGAAAAATGGCCATCTTAGGCAGGTAGCCATCTTGCACAATGTCCTCATAATGAAAAAAGAATGCAAAGGGGGAATGAGAAGTGGCCGTTTGTGTTTGGTGCCCGAGATCAAATCTAAGTACACAAATTAGGCTAAGGAAAATCTCTTGATAAGCATTTTTATTTCGGCATAGCTACATACAGCGGTTGCTATGGAAATGGCCGCCATCTTGAAAATAAACAATGAATTTCAAATCCATCAGGCTTTCTTATTTACTTACCAAATTTGACCAAATATGGCAAGAGTATACACCTGAACTAGTCCCTATCAAAGTAACAGCGTGTTTTTTTTTCAATAAATGCAATAGAAAATTTAGGTTGCGTAATTGCTTGCCAAAGGAAAAGCTTTATTTTTTTCGCAAATATCTCTGTTACATTGATGGCAACGACTTTTACGCGTGAGGTCCCAAGGTGAGAAAAGACATGACAAGTGCGAATAACGTCAAGTGAGTTCCAAAATCTTTATCGAGTATCTCAATCTTTATGCTGGAATGTTGATATATCTCTCTCAGCCCAGGTTGGCCCTGACTAACAGTGTTGGAAGCCTGCTTACTAAATGATCAGAATTCTAAAACAATTTTTTAAACAAAAGTTGGAATATTTAACGCTTCACAATTAAAAAATTAAAGTTGGTATAAACTAAATTACTAAATGCTACCATTTCAATAAGGTAAAAAATAATAACAATTAAAAAAGCAGGCGAATCAAACAGAACTTCATGCTTCATGGACCTTACATGGTCGTATTTTGTCTTTTTAATTTTTAAAAGGGCTGTGTTAGTTGTCTGGGATTTTCTGTTTCCCACACAGCGCCTCTTTTTTTTTGTTGATTTTGCCACGTCTTGGGAAAGGCAAAGGTGTATAGTCATCTGTGAGCTCCAGTTTATAAAGGATGGTTTCACAAGGACGATATTGCAATGCTCCAAGAACCTTTTTCTACTTTTTTGTTCGAGAAGAACAGGGTGACAATAAAGATGGCCATTTCAAATAACGGAGTGTCTACGTAGACGGTAACCGGGCACGTAGTCTCAGTATCTTACACGGTAACCGGGCACGTAGTCTCAGTATCTACGTACACGGTAACCGGAAAGTCCAAGAGATAGTTCACTCAGCCAAAAAAAGTGTCACTTTTATTGTTTTTCACACAAGTAGTGGAGACTTTTTAAAAATAATGTAACGACATCATGTACAAAGTCATAGTCAAGTCTAATTCTGACAAACTCAACCAATAAAGCTATCCTCATATTGTTTTATCCAATGTGTATGTTGTGTGATTTGTGTGTGAGTAACATCATGTATTAAATTATATAGAGTGGCTATAATTATTCAAACATATGTATAGTATCCTTTAGGTGTCTCTCTCTCTCTCGATCTCTCTCTCTCGTCTCTCTCTGTTTTTATGTATTTTTGTGTGTGATTGTAAGTGTGGTGTGTGTAAAGATTGTGGGTGGTTGGTGGGTGCTCTGGTGTGGTCTGCTCCTTCTCTCCTATTCAGCATCTATTATCTTTTTATATTTATCTTTCTCTTCCTTCTTTGTTTGTTACTCTCTTATAACACTAACTTCTCTAATCTTCGGTACTTTTATATTAACTTTTTGTGTTGCAAGTGCTAACTCTTACGAAAACAAAAGATAGTTTTAGAGGTATGAAACAGGGCGCTTCCGCAAGCGGAACTGTATGCGTGGTACCGAAGCTCTATCTACTTTCGCTTTCGTTACCACTCAGAAATTTGCCGGTAGCAGTCTGATTAACGCAACATTTGTTGTGCAAGTTGTGCGCATTACAAACGCTGTCGCCATGAAAATAAATCATTGTCCAGTGCTTTCACTTGCGGAAAAAAAAAGAAAGTGTATGCATGCGTCTTGTCGGGCTCACCATCGTGACCGGTCAGTGAACCTGTACCTTCGCATCACATTGTATTGTGAATACCGGTGATCTTTGGGGTCACCAAAGTTCATTCAAAGTGTGCATTGGGCGAAGTATAGGGCTCCGGAATGGGGGGATTATTGATTTTTTTTAAAGGTACTGTCGGGTGGGAGAATGGGTTTGAAGGTAACCCCGGATGACAGGAACTGAACTTGGAAGCAAAATTTAGTAGAATTTTGATTAAATTACTAGAGTTTCCTGGTACGTAAAAGCGTGCATTGGTGCAAGCCCTGTGTGGAATTGGGATCCGTCACACTACTTTACCTAGTAAGCCGTGTTTTTTAACCCAAAGGTCCGCGTTTCATAGGATGGGGGATAGTACGTTTGTTTCAATGTCCTTTGTTTTAAGAGAGAATATAATTATGATCTCATCAAGAGCATAATACTTTTTTTATTCTCCCTCCCTCTCTCTCTCTCCATCTCCCTCTCTCTGTTTTCTGAGTTTCGTTCTCTCTCTCTCGTGATAGTAAATTACATGGTAATGGTATTGTTTAAACATATATTTTAGCTTTCTGTTCCAGATTCGCAGATTTTCAGAGTCACTGCATTTTGCCCTCCTAGGAAAGATGACAGGGGGTAGATTGGGATCATTTTTGGAATTACATTCTGCTCACAACACACAAAAAGCGGAGTAAAAAAGGAAAAAGATCAAGGTCATAAAGGGAACGAAGCAGTTGCTGTGAACCTAGCTCAAGCCGCCCCCCCCCCCTTCAAAACTACCTGGTTACCGTGTTCGTAGATAATGATAGGCACCCGGTTTCCGGTATGGTACACGTAGATATGAGGCTACGCGCCCGGTTGCCAGTTACCGTGTACATAGATACTGAGGCTACGTGCCCGGTTACCGTGTATGTGAAATTGAGACTACACTGTGAAAAAGGAAAAAGTCATGGTCATGAAGGGAGCGAAGCAGTTACAGTGCGTGCACCTAGATCTAGCTCAAGCCCCCTTCCGCATCCCCCCACGACGAAACTTAAGTACACGGTTACCAAGTGCGTAGATATTGAGGCTACGTAGTACGAGCCCGGTTACCGTGTGCATGTAATGTAACATTGAGACTACACGCCCGGTTACCGGGTACACTTAGATATTGGGGCTACGCGCCTGGTTGCCGGTTACCGTGTACGTAGACACTGAGGCTAGCGTACGTGCCCGGTTACACCGTGTACGTAGAGCCTGAGGCTACGTGCCCGGTTACCGTGTACATAGACACTCCGGAAAAAAATGCTTCTCTTCCCATTCCTCGCAGAAAGGCAGAATGAAGGATGACGCCTTAAATCTCCCCAAAAAACCCAAAGAATCTCAAGATCGGAAACCGTTCGCAGAAATAGAGGGTATTTTTTTACTTTCCCTCCCGTCTCACACTCAGCTATCAATTGTCTATTTTGTACTAAATATTGATGTGCTGAACACGAATATCAACTTCATTTCCGTCGCAAATTAATAGTTTTTGAAATATTTAATTGCTTTTAACCGAGATAGACATGCTTTGGACCAATCGGGGGGTTCCAGGAGGGCCTGCCCCACTGGGGTAAAAGAAAATCTGGGGGGTTACAGGGGGGCATGCCCCCGTTTTTACCCATAGTTTGATATTTTACAGTTAGATTTGAAATTGTCTTGAAAATAATTGCTTTACGACAGTTTTAGTGGCTTTATGTGTGATCTGCAGCAAACAGTACAGCAGTTTGACCCCTGAAACAGTGCATCTGTGTGCGGGAGTGAAAGTAAAAATTTACCAAATAGAGTTCAAGTTATTTTCCTGAACGCTCGGAGAAGAAAGTGGCTATTCTCACCCGCCCGGAAGTTCTCGCAAGATCAACTCCTCCCCTCTTCTCTCTCTCTCTGTCTCTTTCTGAATACTGTCTATCGGTGTGGTCGATCAAATTGACCAAAACAAAGTTAAAAAATGATGTTAAAACACAAAAAAAGTAAATTAATTTGGTTTTGTGTCTACAAAGATGCTACGGCTATTTAACTTTTCGAATGGAGCCGAACTACGCGGGTCACCATTTTGTTTTGCCCGGAAATTCTCGCGCTACTCCTCTCTCTCTCTCCACTGCCCACAGACAAAATTGTACGCTTTTAGTAGGCTACAGTTGTAATGGAACGTTTGTTCACGGCACAGAATTCTACAATTTTTCTGTTATCACAGTGTAGAATTCTGTGGTTTAGGGTGAACGCAAAAAAATTTGGTGAACGCGCACCGGATGAGAATAGCCACAAGACTCGCCTGCACTATTCTCACTCCGGGTGAGAATAGAGGTGGCCCTCGGAGAAATAGGGCCTAGAATCTAGATCTAATCTAGATCTAGATCTAGTCACATCGTTAAAAATACTAAAATCTAGATCTAGATATCTAGATCTAATCTAGACTTTTAGATCTAGATTCTAGAATCTAGAATCTAGATATCTCTAGATTCTAGATCTAGATAGATCTAGAACTAGATCTAGATCTAGAGATCTAGATCTAGATCTAGAGATCTAGATCTAGATCTAGATCTAGATTCTAGATCTAGATTCTAGTAGTATAAGTAGTGAACAGAATTGGCAACATGATCAGAGGAATTTCTTCTTCAGCCTTACCCTTTTCTGGTTGTTGACAAGAAAATCCAAAGAGCACAAGTTGAAAACAAGCAACGCTCGGAGCACCTCTGAAGTCTTCTTACTTTTGTAAGCCTCTTTTCCGCATCCAAAGGAAAGGTCTAATTCTGGATGCTCGTGATTCCCCGTAAGGCTTTTCCACTCCCTGCCCGTAGGGCCAGTTTGTTCACTGGAACTGGGAGCTTCCTCATAGTTCGGGAGCGTCGATTTGAACACTGTGTGAGAACTAATTCCATCAAGAGATCTACACGTAAAACTAAGACGATAGAGACTGTTTCTTGAGCTATTCCCCCTCAGAAACTCCTTTCCTGCAATATTTGACAGATTTTTCACGAGTAACATCTTCTGGAGTGCCATTGCACCAAGGCTACCACGAGGAACCACACGAAACAAAACAGTCCTGTCGGAACTGCTAACAGAGAGTGATGATGAAACAGTAGAAAGTAGAAACAGGTCACTGGCCAGGCTAGAGGTAGGACAGTTCGTTCACTGCGAGTTCACTAGTGAGACTACAACAAGGGCCAACAATTCGTTCACAACAGCTTGCCTGCCTCCTTTCGTATTTCTCTCGTGTTGAGTAAGAGGATTTGAGAGATTAGAATATCATTTTTATCTCCCTTGCCTTATAACTTGCTTACTAACCACAGAATTCTACACTAAGTGTAGAATTCTGTGTTACTAACTAACGGAAGGGACGTTACTCATGATATTAAATGATTCGTATGAGTATCGTTTCGCTGTTTTTATAGAGAAAAATGTATTTATTGACAATAGAGGCAGAATAGAGGGCGAGACAGAGAGCGACACACACACACACACACACACACACACACACACACACACACACACACACA